CACTTGCTTTTCCTTTGATTATTGTTCACATAATACGCCTTTTTCTATTTGTTTAATTATACTTTAAATTCTAGGGTACATGTGCACAGCGTGCATGTTTGTTACATACATATACATGTGCCATGTTGGTGTGTTGCACACATTAACTCATCATTTACATTATGTATATCTCCTAATGCTATTCCTCCCCCCTCCCCCAACCCCACAACAAGCCCTGGTGTGTGATGTTCCTCACCCTGTGTACAAGTGTTCTCATTGTTCAATTCCCACCTATGAGTGAGAACATGCAGTGTTGGTTTTCTTTTCCTTGCGATAGTTTGCTCAGAATGATGGTTTCCAGCTTCTTCCATGTCCCTAAAAAGGATATTAACTCATCCTTTTTTATGGCTGCATAGTATTCCATGGTGCATATGTGCCACATTTTCTTAATCCAGTCTATTATTGATGGACATTTTGGTTGGTTCAAAGTCTTTGCTATTGTGAATAGTGCCACAATAAACATACGTGTGCATGTGTCTTTATAGCAGCATGATTTATAATCCTTTGGGTATATACCCAGTAAAGGGATGGCTGGGTCAAATGCTATCTCTAGTTCTAGATCCTTGAGGAATTGCCACACTTTCTTCCACAATGGTTGAACTAGTTTACAGTCCCACCAACAGTGTAAAAGTTGTCCTATTTCTCCACATCCTCTCCAGCCCTTGTTTCCTGACTTTTTAGTGATTGCCATTCTAACTGGTGTGAGATGGTATCTTATTGTGGTCTCTGTGCATTTCTCTGACGGCCGGTGGTGATGAGCATTTTTTCATGTGTCCATTGGCTGCATGAATGTCTTCTTTTGAGAAGTGCCTGTTCATATCCTTTGCCCACTTTTTGATGGGGTGGTTTCATTTTTTCTTCTAAATTTAAGTTCTTTGTAGATTCTGGATATTAGTCCATTGTCAGATGGATAGATTGTAAAAATTTTCTCCCATTCTGTAGGTTGCCTGTTCACTTTGATGGTAGTTTCTTTTGCTGTGCGGAAGCCCTTTAGTTTAATTAAATCTCATTTGTCACTTTTGGCTTTTGTTGCCATTGCTTTTGGTGTTTTAGTCATGAAGTCCTTGCCCATGCCTATGTCCTGAATGGTATTGCCTAGGTTTTTTTCTAGGATTTTTATGGTTTTAGGTCTAACATTTAAGTCTTTAATTGATTTTGTATCCTAAGACTTTGCTGAAGTTGCTTATCAGCTTAAGGAGATTTTGGGCTGTGACAATGGGTTTTTCTAAATATCCAATCATGTCATCTGCAAACAGGGACAATTTGACTTCCTCTTTTCCTAATCGAATACCCTCTATTTCTTTCTCCTGCGTGATTGCCCTGGCCAGAACTTCCAACACTATGTTGAATAGGAGTGGTGAGAGAGGGCATCCCTGTCTTGTGCCAGTTTTCAAAGGGAGTGTTTCCAGTTTTTGCCCATTCAGTATGATATTGGCTGTGGGTTTGTCATAAATAGCTCTTATTATTTTGAGATACATCCCATCAATACCTAGTTTATTGAGAATTTTTCATGTGAAGAGCGTTGAATTTTGTCAAAGGCCTTTTCTGCATCTATGAGATAATTGTGGTTTTTGTCTTTGGTTCTGTTTATATGATGGATTACGTTTACTGATTCTCCTGCCTCAGCCTCCCGAGTAGCTGGGGTTACAGGCATGTGCCACCACACCCGGCTTACATTTGTGTATTTAGTACAGATGGGGTTTCACCATGTAGGCCAGGCTGGTCTCGACTTCCTGACCTGAAGTGATCGCTGGCCTCAGCCTCAGAATTATAGGCATGAGCCATCACACACAGTCACCTTTTGTTTTTTAATGTATACATATTCAAGCAAAAAAATGGTGGGTTTAATTTATGACTATTGGAATATAACTCTACAAAAACTATTGCTACAGAGTACTGAAAGTCTTTACTGTAAAGTGCATATATTTTCAAAGTATAATTAGCACGTAGAGAATAAAATATCAGTTTATTCACTTACATTAACATATAAATGATATTTACAGTGAATTGTTTTGAGAAATGTAGTTTGATAGTGTTTCAATTAGAAGAAAAAATGAAGTGCTCAAATACAGCAGTTCTTTCATTGCAAAAGAAAATCCAAACTTTCTGTGAAGAGAAAATAATGTAACCAAGTCCAACCTCATTCTGCTCCCACACACCATTCAATACGTCAGGAGACAAGGAGTTAGGGCAAGGAAGGTGACTTTAGTTTGAAGAGCCAGAAAACGAAGAAGATGGTGGACTAATGTTCTAAAGAAGCAGCTTAAGTCAGTACAAATGTCAGGCTCTTTTTATGTAAAGGGCTGGCAAAGGGGAAGGGGTTGAGATGCAGAGGGGGCTGAGGCTGGCAGACACCTGGGAGCCAGCGAGGGTCTGAGGAGGTTGGGAACTTCCTTGTCCTTGGCCAGGTCACAATGTTCCTATAAATCTCCACCAAAGCATAGTTGTTTATATACTTCTCCTTTAACTTAGCTAAGAGTTAGTTTCAAAAACTATATGATTGCTACTTATCATTTTATCTCAGTGCTGTAAAATTATCCTCGCCTACATGCAGGAATAGAAGAAGGCACCTTAAATGGAAATGAAATTAGTTATGTGAATTATTTTGCTGTTTCACCGTTACATTAAGTCCCATGTTTCTTGGTGTGTTTCCAAATCTCTTAATATTCTTTTAATGTGTAAGAATCAACTGTGTAGGAGCCGACTGCTGTGTCCACTGCTGTGTCCAGCATGTGACAGTGGAGGAATTCTGGCCCAGCAGAAAGCTCCCCTAGATCCACTGGCCTCAGTGACCCTCAGATGCAGTTGGGGTCAGTGAACACAGCCTGGCAGATTGGGAGGCGTTGGTGGAGAGGAGGGAACAATGCTGCTTTAAGGTCCGGCTCACTGCTGGGGAAGAAGTCAGCAGGGCTCAGCTCAGGCTATTTCTCCACTGTGGTGTAAACAGACCAAAAAAAACAGAGTAGTGCTTTGCCATGCCTTTGTTAATGACTTTTTTCCTGGGCGGCCTCAGGCATACCCTTCAGCTGCACAGAGACTTGAAAGGGCCTCAGCTGGGCGCGTGGCTCATGCCTGTAATCCCAGCACCTTGGGAGGTCAAGGTGGGCGGTTTATGAGGTCAGGAGTTCAAGACCTGCCTGGCCAACATGGAGAAACCCCGTCACTACTAAAAATACAAAAAATTAGCCAGGCATGGTGGCAGGTGCCTGTAATCCCAGTTACTCGGGAGGCTGAGTCAGGAGAATTGCTTGAACCCAGGAGTCATAGGTTGCAGTGAGCTGTGATTGTGCCACTGCACTCCAGCACGGGTGACAGAGTGAGACTTTGTCTCAAAAAAAAAAACAAAACAAAAAAGGGTCTCTTTTGGAACATCTTATTTTGAAAAATGATATATCAAAATTAAATTTGTTTTACTGTTGATTTTATTATAAAGTTGGAATCTCAGAAAATGTACAAAAAGTGCATACATGAAAGGGGGGGAACCTCTGTAAATCCTGGCAGATACAGGTCACCCTGTGGAAGCACTGGGGTCCAGCACTGTGCTCTTGTCTTATCGCCTGCGTTTTTGGCCCTGAGGGGAGATTATCAGGACTAGCATTACTACTTGCTGCTTTTCTGTATTTTATTTATTTATTTATTTATTTATTTATTTATTTGAGATGGAGTCTTGCTCTGTCGCCCAGGCTGGAGTGCAGTGGCACAATCTTGGTTTACTGCAACCTCCGCCTGCCGGGTTCAAGCAATTCTCTTGCCTTGGCCTCCTGGGTATCTGAAATTACAGGCACGTGCCACCATGCCTGACTTCTTTTTAAATGTATTTTTAGTAGAGACAGGGTTCCACCATGCTTGCCAGGCTGCTCTCAAACTCCTGCCGTTGTGATCTGCCTGCCTCAGCCTCCCAAAGTGCTGGGATTACAGGTGTGAGCCACCGCGCACGGCCCCTTTTCTGTGTTTTAAATGTTAATAGATATTGTCTGGTTGCCAACTCCTAAATGTGGAACACTTTATAATCCTAATATGGAATGTATGAGAATTCTGTCTGTATTCATCATCATATTAAATATTCATTTAAATTTTTATTAGTCTAAGCAGTTTAAATGAGATATGTTTTCCTTGGTTTCACCATTGTTGAAATGTCTTCCCTTTTCATGCTGTAAGAAAAGTTGGTATTTCTCTGTGCCTATATATCTACGCATGTCTATAGAGATGCATCTAACTGAGCACTTCTCCAAGATTAATGTAATTGTGCTACGCCTGTTTTCAAAGGTTTAGGATCATAAAGTAATTTTTTGCAAAAGCATTTCCTTTCTAAAATATTTTATTTAACCTATATAACATACTAAGAAGTAAAATTTATGGCTTAATTTTCTTTCTTATGGAAAGCCAGATACTGCTGCATTCTTTTTTTCATATATGTATATATGACAGGAAGGAAAACGTAAGAGTGAGTATTTTAAAATACTTATGTGAAACGCATATGGGACACATCCGTGGAAGAGATGAACTGAAATAAATCACAGGATTAAAATGGGTCATTAATGATGGACAAGGGACTGGATATACTTCAGTGAGAAGAGGATCTTTTATTTCAGAAATGAGGCTGGGCGCAGTGGCTGTCACCTGTAACCTCAGCACTTTGAAAGGTCAAGGCGGGAGGATTGCTTGAGCCCAGGATAACTTGAGACCAGCCTGGGTAACATAGGGAGACCCCATCCCTACAAAAAATAAAAAATAATTTGCCGGGCGTGGTGGTGGGTGCCTGTAATCCCAGCTACTCGGGAGGCTGAGGCAGGAGAATCGCGTGAACCTGGGAGGTGGAGGTTGCAGTGAGTGAGCTGAGATCGCGCCACTGCACTGCAACTTGGGCGACAGGGTGAGACCCTGTCTCAAAACAAAAAAACTCCACAGAATGGGAGAGAATATTTTTTGGAAAAGCTCTAAGTTTAAAGTGTGGAATAAAGTCCGGCAAGCGCGGACAGGCGCAGGCGGACGGGAAGGGAACTCCAGCTGGCCTCCTGGGAGCTGTGAACGGGCCTGGCGGAGCCTCCAGCAGCCCAGTGCGCTCAGTGGTCGGCGGCCTCGGGCTTCTGACAGCCAGGCAGAGGCTCAGGCGCGGCAGGGACACGCCCGGAGTTCCGAGAGTGACTAACCAGCAGGGGGTCCGGAGCCAGGACGTCGGGAAGTGCAGGGGAGGACTGGGTGGTCCAGCGGCGCAGGGCGCGATCCAGAGCACCGAGGTTCCCAGAAAGGCAGCCTCGCCACAGCCCGCAGCAGCAGGGGGTCTAGGCCTGACTGGCTGGCTGGAGCCGCAGCCCTGCTCTCCAGGCAGCGCGAGCCCTCGCGACTGCAGCGCCGCCTGCAAGGACCGCGCTCCCTCAGGAGGGGGCTGCCCTGCAGCCGATCCCCGTGGCCACAAGTGCGGGCAGGGTGCGCACTGGAAACCCGGGGGGGACGGCTGCCGAGAGCATGGAGGCCTCGGAGCCCGGGCGCCCCCGCCGGTCCTCGGTGCCTCTGTTCTTTAAATTCTGCCACATCTTGAGATCCGTTCCCTGCTCCAGCTGCTTTTGCTGACGGAAGCCGTCTTCTGCCACCTTGGAGTTTCTTCCCCGGAGGCTAACCCTTGGTCTTGGGCGGACCCCTTGGGTGTCTCTCCTGATGGAGGGGCCTGGGCCTCTCGGGGGCTGGAATGTGAGACCTGTCCCGGCCTCCATGCTTCCCTTCTCTCCTCACATCCTCTCGCCCAGATCCTCACACATCCGCACATGCCGTGGCTGGGGGAGGCAGAGACTCCAGGACCCCCAGGCAGGGGCTCCACATAGTCCCCACAGTGGGAGCTACTCCCTGTCACTGGGATGGGGACGGGGCTCCACGTTGTGTAGGAACCGGTGCCAGGGGCTCTGCTGTTCTCAAAGCGGGGGTTGCTGGCCCACCGGGGTCTCCCTCTCCACCTCCTCCCTCTTCCAGGGCGAGGACAGGAGCGTGGGGCTCCTGCTGCGGGGTGAACGCTCCCTCCCCTCCCCGTGAGTTCCCCGCATTCCCTGATTCTGCCTGCTGCCCACGCAGGCCTGCAGTGAACAAAGGGCGCACCAGGAAGCAGAGTTTGGGTCAAGTTCGTCTTTCTTCATTGTAGGACAGTTGCAGGAAGGGGAGGAGAACAGGGCGTTTTCCTTGCAGCCCCTTTTCCCCAGCCCACCCCCAGTCTCTAGGGACCCATTGAGCCTCAGAGGAAGCCAGAAGCCATGGTCTGAGGGGAAAGCAAAGACGCCTGGGGTCTATGGGTGTGTAGCACCCCCAGCTCCCCCAGTTTCTGGGATCTGCGTTAAGTGGCCGCCCCTCCCTGCTCCTGCTGGGAAGATGCCATGGGCCTTCCATGGCCTCCTCTCCCCAGCCCAATGCCAAGTGGACTTCCAGAGGCACAAAGTCGGCAGGGACCACTATGTCTTCAAGACCTGGCGTGCAGAGGCAGGAGCATGAGTGTCTGACACGCGAGCGTGAGTGTGAGCGTGTGAGATGGGGCAGGCAGCATGTCCTCAGGTGTTTTTGGGCCTGTGTACAGAGTGTATATGGGCCTGTGCAGAGCCCTCTTCCCCTGATAATTTCCTCAAAACCCACAGTGAGAGGAGAGGGCTCTGGGGGAAGAGAAGTTCCTTCCCTTGTCTTTGAAATGAATTCCTCCTTCCCCAGTCTCTGAGTGGGGAAAGCCCAGCCATGTGCCTTTGCAATGTGCAGAGCAGAAGGTAAGGGGCTGGTGTAGCCTAGGTGGGGGCCACCCTTGGGTCTGCAGCTCACTGGGGGTAAGGGATGGAGGAAGGCTGTGTCACTCCAGGTGTATTTTCTTCCCCCATCTGTGTCTGGGGCTGCAGAATAGGGTGCCAGAAGGACCCTGTTTCACCCATGTGTGTATCTCATTGTGGGGACTCTCCCTGCAGGTCTTTCCCTCACATAAAGCCCCTTTGAAACAAGAAAGAGGCTCCCTGGGCTACAAAACTGAAAGCACAGCCTCCAGGATGCGGAGGGGAATGATGGTGCTGTATTCAAATTTCTTCTCTCTGGTGGTTGGTGGCTGTGACAACCCTCGTCTGACTTTATTCATCTCTGGGTTTTCTTGCCACCCTTCTGTCCCCCTCCCGTCTTCACCCTGAGTCCAAACAGGTCCTACTGTTGATCTCCTGTCCCTTTGCACACTTGTAACCCGCAGGCGAGGACAGGATCTGTTCAGTCATTAGTCATCATGAGTGTTTTGTCAACTGTTTTGTTAATGCATCTGGGGCTATTTGCCCACAATCAGAGGTTGAGGAAATGAGTAATTAACTGTGGGCAAGGAGCTCCTGCCTGACGAATCCTTTTCCTTTTTGGCCCCAGCTTAGGTGGAAGTGGGTAGAATATCTTATATTGGGCAGTTTGGGGGCTGGGGAGGCAGAGAATCTCCTGGGGAATTGAGTCTTGGGGGTGGTGCTCAGGCCTCTGATATCAGTAGTCCTAGCATGTTAGAGGAGAAGGGATCAGGACTGGAAGTATATGGTGATTTCTTGGCTGCAGCACCCCAGGCCCTGCACTTCAGGTATGTCAGGAACTGCAGATCAAACTGAAATCTCCAGGATTCAGGCCCCATCTGGGTTTGCGTGGAGGGCTGTTGGGGCAGATTCCAGGCCTGGCACCAACCCTGAAAGGCAACTTTTAGCGTAGCAAGGCCACACGTCATCCTCCCGGACCTTCCTCTGGGATCTTAGCAGTGCCTGAGAACCTAGGCCATGCCCCCACATTAGGGTGCTGGGGGTGCTTCAGGCTTCTCTCTTCTTTAGGGAAGAAGTGCATAGCAAGGGGACTGGATTGCTGTCCTGCTTGGCCACAGACATGTGCGGAGGAGGCAGGACTGGGGTGAAGCACCTTCCTGGGGCTTCCAGGCTTTCAGAGGTAGGGGCAGTGCCTGTCCTTTCAGAAAACCGGTGTTAGAATTGGAGGAAGTAGTGCATACCATGGGGTTGTTGAGAGAATCACAAATATCCATGAAATGTCCCAGAAATGATGGGAGAAGCTTTTGGGTGGCTGGGGAAACCAACAGTGGTAGAGAGGGATGGAGCTAGAGAACTGTTTCTTACAACTTTAATGGGGGATGTTTTGTTTGGGATCTGGTCTCTGCCAGCAGGCAGAGTCTCCACCCTCCTGTTGAGTGACAACCCAGAGGTGAAAGAGCTGAACGCCACAAGTGAATGTGTATATTTTTGCTGCAAACAAGAGGTAACTCCAGGCTCTGGAAGCTCATCTTGAGGTCACTGGTTTGGTTTGGCTTGCAACTCTTTTTGCTCAGTAAAGCCCAGATCAAGGGTTGATCACCAAAGGTGCAAGTGGCCAAGGTGGCAAGCAATCTCATTAGGTTTCTTGGGACAGGGCTATGCCTTGCCTACCTTTTCATTCCCTTCCCCACCTCTCATTGTTACTAATATATGTTTTTTGTTTTTGTTTGTTTGTTTGTTTGTTTTTGTTTTTTTTTTTTGAGACGGAGTCTCGCTCTTGTCACCTAGGCCAGAGTGCAGTGGCGCAATCTCAGCTCACTGTAACCTCTGCTTGTTTGCTTGGCTTTCTGTGGACAAATGTGGTTTACTCTTCTGTATGTGCCACACTGTGGAAGGAGAAAAGTTTACTTAAGGCCATTAGCTTGAGGACTGAAGCCACTGAAACCTATATATGCTTCCTCATGTCTGCATTACATGACTACTATGCTGCAGTCCTCACAACATGACTTTACTATTCCACTGTCTTTACCAATGTATTTGTCTGTTCTCACATTGCTATAAAAAATGCCTGAGATGGGGCAACTTATGAAGAAAAGATATTTAATTGGTTCATGGTTCCACAGGCTGTACAGGAAGCCTAGTGGCTTCTGCTTCTGGGGAGGCCTCAGAAAACTTACAATCATGATGCAGGGTGAAGGAGAAGCAGGCACTTCTTACATGACTGGAGCAGGAGGAACTGATGGAGGAGCTGCCAAACACTTCTAAACAACCAGATCTCGTGAGAACTCACCATCATGAGAGCAGCATGGAGGGGAAGGTGCTAAGCCATTCATGAAGGATCAACCCCATGATCCAATCACCTCCCATTGGGCCCACTTCCAATACTGGGGATTACAATTCGACATGAGATTTGGGTGGGGACACAGATCCAAACTGTATCAACCAACATGATTTCACAATGGCAGGAAACACTTTCCCAGAAATACAAACATTGCAAATAACTTTCGTGTTTGTTTTAGGAATTTCCTTCAAACTTACTTAAAACTGCTTAACTGTGGTAGATTGTATCCAATAACTTAACTCACCTTGCTGTCTCCATGATCCTGGATGATATCATTATCCTATTCAATCTTAGTCTGCCCCACACTTAAAGAGCTGCCTTAAACCAGACTCTTAAACATCATAAACACCCTGAATTTACCTGTCCCACTCAGACATTATGACTGCCAGGGTAGTGCTGTCTCTTACTGCCGTGATCTTTCCTTTATCAACATATTGTCTTGGTGGTATTTTATGGGAGCCAGAATTCAATAAGCTGCAGTTTTCTTTTCCACACTATGTGGTTGCTTCAATCCTATTTTATCCAATATCCAATCCATCCATCAATCCACTGATTTATTTATTCATTCAACATATATTTATTGAGTGCCTACTATGCGTTCAGCACCCTTAGACCCTGGTTCAGTAATGATGGGTAATGTTACAGTCCTTGTCTTTATAGCATTCACCCTCTCCATCATTATGTCACTTTCCTGCTGCTAGGTTAAGGGGCCCAGAATGTGCCACTTTGGTTTAAGAATTATTTTGAGTTGAAGACAATTGGGAAAATACAGACACAGGAAAAGCTCTCTGTCCTTCTCCTTTCTGCCTAAAAGCAGGCCATGTTTCCCTTGGTAAAGGTAACATAAATTTCCATTTGTAAAGGATTTGTGAAGGGATGCCTCTGTCCAGTACCAGAAGAGGAGAATAATGCTGAATCACAGAAATGACTTATCACTAGAGACAGTGCCAAGGTGAGTCTGCATGATAAATCCTGCTATTCATCCCTTATGTACTGTATATTTCCTAGTTATAGTTCCACAATTTACCACTCCTAGAAGCCCAAATGATCTGCTTTCCTTTGTCTAGTCACTTCACAATTTATCACCCTTTGTTAAAATGATATATAAGCCCGAGTCTGACCACTTTTTACGGGTCTTTTTTTTCTTTTTTCTGTTAATTTTGAGATAGAGTCTCACTCTGTTGCCGAGGTTGGAGTGCAGTGGCACAATCTTGGCTCACCGCAACCTCTGCTTCCCAGGTTCAAGCAATTCTCCTGCCTTAGCCTCCCAAGTCAAGTAGCTGGGACTTACAGGTGCATGTCACCACACCCAGCTAATTTTTGCATTTTTAGTAGAGACAGGATTTTGCCATGTTGGCCAGGTTAGTCTTGAACAACAGACCTCAAGTGATCCACCGCCTTGGCCTTCCAAAGTGCTGGGATTACAGGTGAAATCTAATGCGCCCAG